TATGGCCAGGATAGAATGTACTCACCGATCCACACACACTTCTCTCTGGGGCCCACCACTGTCCTTTGCACCTTTGACTATCTTCACATTTGAGGCAAGTAGTTCCCTGAGGCGGGACCCAGAGGAGGACATGGCAAATGGGAGCTGAAACAGGTTCCCCAGGAAAGTAAAAGACTTGTCAAAGCAGAGAGAAAGGGGAAGATGCTCTATTCTTACAGTGGAATACTATGCTGCTGTTAAAAAGGAGAAGAAAGCTGCATGGACAGACTAGAAAGATGCCAGTTGATATACAAGGTACATAATAGGATCACGCGCGCGTGCGCCTTCGCGCACATTCATGGAAGGGAAGAAACCAGTACAGCCATGTGGAAGGACAGACTCCAAACTATTACTAGTGATGACTGGGAAGATACATGGGGGCGGGGGGAGGGGACACAGAGCTGGAGTGTGTTGTAAACTTTTACTTTCTCTGTATTAAGGACAGTGATCATGTATTAAATTCTTTAAACATAAAAGTACTTCTACTATAAGTACGTAACAAAAACAAACATTAAAAGGGGAAGTATAAAGCCCACCCAGGGCCCTGGGAACTCTCTCCAGGGTACACTCCTAGCAATTCTGCCTTTGCAGATTGTCCCAGCTGGTCCCATGGCTCCTCCGTTGCTTTCTCCTCGGTGAGCCAGTCCAGGGGCAGTCTCCTGCCTGGTCAGCGACTTCCCCTCTAGTCAGCGCGTGTCCCACAGAAGACGGATTTGAGAGCTGCCAGCTCCAATTGATGCAAGAAACGACAGAGCTCGTTTGAAAGGAAAAATTGCCAGAGGTGCTCCTTGGCAGGAGAGGTGGGTGGAGGGAGTGGCATTAGTATTCCAAGGCCCTAACTTTTCTGTGTGTCTACATGCTATTCTGGAAGCTGGGAGAAGGATCTGACAGACCTAGACTTCAAGAGAAATAATAGTGTCTTACAGTCAGGACCTTATTCCAGAAATCCCAAAAGCTAGGGGCACAGGGTCCACTTATAACATTATACAGGGTGGGGCAAAAGTAAGTTTCCAGTTGTGAGGACGAGAAACACCGAGTTTATTCTCGTATCACTTACTGTATTATTTTCCATCTGAACAACTGTAAACTTACTTGGGCCCCACTCTGTATGCAGAATTGTCTCCACCAGCAAGGACCTGATAAATCCATGGCCTACGTGGCTGGCACAAGGTGAACTGTCATGCTCTAGGGAGGAATTGTTGGGCCACTCTGTACTTCCTCTTATTTATGTTTTCCTAGATCTTTGTAGTTTATAAAGAGCATGACGTCCTGGTGAAGAGCATGAGCTAAGAGGACAGAGAGCCCAGGTGGCCTCTCAGCTCCACCACCTTCTCTAAGCCTCACTTTCCTCTGCTCTAAAGTGGGAATAATAATAGTACTTACTTGGTAGAGGTTTTTTTGTTTTTTTTTGGTGAGAGTTAAATGGGACAATACAGGAAGTCTTGAACCTTGAATCTGGCACACACAGTCAATAGTAATTGTTGATTTGCTAACTAACTATGTATAGCAAGACCCAAGGCAGGTATTCACCAAGCCTTAATGAGAATAAGGTAGGTGACTGAGTATTTTGGTTCATCAGCATTCACACACTTACTAACATAACTAACACAGTTCAAACATAAGTCTGACTCTTGGCCTCCACAATTATAGATTTTTCAGAAGATGTGTGTCCACCAAAATTTTGCATGATTGAGCTATTACTGCATTCAAAAATTATCACCTTCAACTAAAGTTATTCAGTAAGACTCTCCATATGTAGGCCAGTGTGCTGGCTGCTGTACATATAGATCAAGACAAGTGATATTCCTTCCTTCTATTCCTCTAGGCCTGGCCATCTTCGAGTCTTTCAAATTCCCTTAGAAATAGGAATCCTGTCTTTCATGTTTTAACTTATGCTCCTGCCATCCTCTGTCTTGTTAGGAGAAAGAAAGTTTCTAGGGTAGGAGGCTTAAACGGATGGGCCATTAGCAGCATAACAAAGCAAAAGGAATTTTCCAGGTCACCAGCCAGCTTCAGAGTGGCATTTAAAATTCACTTGCTTAGTGGCAGACAAAGAGATTGGTCAGGAGAGGGTGGGGAAGGGTTTCTCCCAGCTGAGGAGGAACTGGGGACCACCTTTTTCATGGCCAGCAAAATCAGTAAACACCATAACATGCTGCTTGGTTTCTGAGCTGATCTTTTATCATTGCACTTGGGACACAGGTATGAAAAAGAAAATAACCATCTGTCTGCTGAACCCATAAATAAAAGGTTCTCCTTGGCTTCAGAGTTAGGGAACATCCGATCCCTGCTCAGGCTTCCACCATGATTTGCTAAAATATAACATACCCATAAATTTCTCCTGAGCCCACTGAACAACCTCTCTCTCTCCCTCTCCCCCCACACCTCCCCTCTCCCTTCCTCCCTCCCTCTCTCTCCTCTCTCTCTCTCTCTCTCTCTCTCTCTCTCTCTCTCTCTCTCTCTCTCTCTCTCACACACACACACACACACACACACACACACACACACACACCCTACCTTATTCCTACTGTGACAAAGTTCGGCAGGAGAAGAGCTACGATCATGCTGTGTTTCCCCCACCCCTTGCCTGTATTTTAAATTTTTATTTTTTGCAGGTCATTGGGGAAGGCAGTTTCGCCACTTAATTGGTAAGCAGATCTGCTCTGGTAGAAATGTTCTTCTAGGGATCATCTTTGATACTGAAGGAGGAGTGACTTGTAGAGTCCTGCTGAAATTCAGTAGCTGGGCCTTGTTACCTCCCTGTACCACTCTCCCCTCTCCCACAGTTCGTTGCTCCAAAACCATTCATAGCCCTATGGTCACTTAAATAGGCCTTAAAATTCCTACAACCTCCCCCTGGCCCATGTGGCTCAGTTGGGTGAAATGTTGTCCTGTGCACTGCAAGGTCACAGGTTTGATTCCAGTTGAGGTGCTTCCGGGAGGCAAACAATCAATGTATCTCTCTCACTCACATCAAAGTTTTTCTCTCCCTTCCTTCTTCTCCAAAAACCAATGAAAGGAAAAATTGGCAACAAAAATATTCCTACAACCTCTTGACCCTGAGGGCCCCACCAAATTGCACAAGGATGCTTAAGTAGCAGTGATACACGTTTTTAGGTTTTTCCAAACTCTTTAAAACTCAGCAGAAGGAGCGCACAAAATATGAAAAACAGAAACTATGGTTTCTGTTTGAAACCAATCACAATGCTGCTCAAAAGGGTCCTAAGATTCAAAGCTTGAGAAAAAAAAAAATCACTATTTAGAATAGGGGTGTCGAACTCAATCAGAGAAGGGGCCAAAATCTAAAATCCAGCCTAAATCGCAGGCCGAATGGTTTACTGAACAGTCATAAACTGTCATTGTGATGGAAACACAGCGGAGTGCAGTGATGACAGCGCGGTGCGGGCCACATTGCAAGGCCTGGCGGGACGGATTTGGCCCGCGGGCCTTGTGTTTGACACATGTGATTTAGAATATCATTCTATTCGTGTTTTTATGAACAGATCACTGTCTATAAAATGCTAAAAAAAATTTTTTTAATTTATTTTTAGAGAGAAGAAGAGAGAGAGAGAGAGAGAGACATTAATGTAAGAGAAACATTGATCAGTTGCCTCCTGCCATGACCAAGTATTGAACACAAAACCTGGACATATGCCCCAACTGGGAATTTAAAACCCAACACTTTCTGGTGCACCAGAAGTCACTCCAACCAACCAACTGAGCCACCTGGCCAGGGCTAGAACACTTTTTGATCCAGCCCTGCCTACCTGAACTCCATGCAGTTACTCCCATGGTGTCTACTCTCTGGATTTACTCCTGTTTTGTTGTTGCAGGTCCTCCACTAGCTTCCTTGGAGGAGATACGTTTTTTGAGACCTTGCATATCTGAACATGTCTTTCCTTTATTCTTCTTTTCCACATTTTAATTGGTAGTTTTCCTAGGTATAAAATTCTAGGTTGTAAAGCATTCCTCAACAAGCCTAGGTCTCTCCAGCATCCAGGTCTTTAAACTAGAAATATCCTTTTGCATAGAATACATACCTCTCACCCACCCTTGCCCTTATGTAGCTAACACCTCATTATTCTTGTCAGGAAAACTTCCCTGCACAGCCCCCTGCCCACCCTAGCTGGATAGATATCCCTCATATTTGTTCCCACAACACCTGGGGCTTACCTTCTCAATACACACTATTGTCATTACCTGTTTATTTTGTGTCCTTTACTAGTTTGTGAGTTTGAGGGCTAAAAATTCAGAGCCTGTTATGCCACTCAGTAAATACTTGTAGAACAAAGGAATAAATTAATGGTTGTAATGATTTGTGTGTTTTTTTTGTTTGTTTTTATTATAAGATACAATTGTTAATAAAAAGTTTGACGAATGCATGCTCTGGGTCTGGGGGTAAAGAACAGGATTAGTCTGGGGAAAGAAATGCCTTCTTGATACTAGGAGTATAGAAAATCCTTGTAATTTTCTTGTTCAATATTTGCTTTCCATGGGGACAGGGACCAGGTCTGCCCAGCTCACTGTTGTGTTCCTAACAACTAGACCATAATGACAGCTTAATAAAGAGCTGATGAATGAATGAACTGGTCCAAAGGGAGTTCTATGCATTATACCACCAAGAAAACCAAGGGAGAAAAAGTCCCTAAGCTGTTTTACCAGCTTGGGAAATGAGTAGTTTGAATTGAAAACTCAATTCATCATTTCTTCCCATCTAACCTCAACAGAAAACCAGGACCCTCTTCCAATTCCCTGTTCCAGATACAGGCCTTCCCTCCCTTGGACACCTGGATTTGAAGCCCAAGAATTATTTGGCTTGGGCCCTCTTCATCGTAGTCTGTTTCTTTTCTGTCATCATTTCCTTAGAGCCTCCTCTCCCTTCACAACAACTTTCTCACAGAGCCTCCTTTTCCACTCTTCTTGCTAGTACCCCCACGGAGGCCCCAATCACCCACACCTACCTTCTCACGTGGCTCTGTCCTCTCTCCCAGTCACTTGGACTCCTCTGTAGATGAATCTTTCTGTAGCATCACTTTTCATAGTGTCTCTTCAACAGCCAAAACATCTTTAGAGGCTCTTCATTTCTTTCCACATTAAGTCACTACTTCCCTGCTATTTCTCAACCTTCAGAATGGCTCCTAACACTCTGTTTTTCCCTCCCTACACACACCAGCTCACTTATCGCACACACACACACACAACTCACTCTGATGAGGCAAGATGTTCCACTGACTCCGAGCAGACTTCTACACAATTTGTGCAATCTCTGGAATGTTCTCCCCACCCTCTCTTAATTCAATCCATCCTTCCAGACCTGGTTTAAATCTTTCCTCCTCCAAGATGCCTTCACTGTCAACTTCAAGCCTTGCTGATATTCCCAACTTAAAATCCAAATAGTACTTATCATCTTTCCAGCCCAATTAAATCCCGATGGGTACCTTATATAAGCCACTACACAGTCTACATAGGTTATTGTGGTTTTCCTCTATAAACCTGGCAACTCATGAATGGCAAAACTGTAAAGATGTTGCCCTGGCTGGTTTTGCTCAGTGGACAGAGCATCAGCCTGTGGACTGAGGGGTCCCAAGTTTGATCCCAGTCAAGGGCACATGCCTGGGTTGTGGGCTCCGTCCCCAATGGGGAGAGTAGAGGAGGCAGCTGATCAGTGGTTCTTTCTCATCATCAATGTTTCTGTCTCTCTCTCCCTCTCCCTTCTTCTCTGAGATCAATAAAAATATATTTAAAAAAATAACTGTAAGGATGTCCTGTTCTTGCACCCAAGGGGATCCTTTGAGTTCAACATCTAATAATATTCAGCTGCTTTCAGAAATAGGCAGACCTGGGTAAATCCCAGTCCCAACAATTACTGTGTATATTTGGGCAAATAATTTGGACCCTTTGAGCTTCTGTATCCTCGTCTGTATAACTGGAATAATAACAGTTACTTCATAAGGTTGCTGTGAAGATTAAAAGGGATAATGCTAAGTCAGGCAATTTGCACACTGCTTTGATACATGGTACATAATTGATATATGTTTGTTAGCTATTGTTATAAAAGACTCCAATCCCTGTTCTTGGGAGTTGAATTCTGGCCTTGGTTTTGTTTTAGACTTTCTGTCACTGAGTCAGCTTTGCAAACAGTGACTTCCTTCCACTCCCGACTTCCGAGTCCACCCTAGCTCGTCAAAGCATATCTTTGCAGTAGTGGCTAGGGGCAAGTTCCATTATGCAAGGGCATCTCAGGCTCATAATCATCACTCCCGCCCTCAGCACACCTGGGTTCAATGCTGAATTGTTTGGGTGGGGACCTTTTGTTTATGAGGCTTCTTAAGCTTTTCTTTCTTCCACTTTTTCTTTATCATTATCGTTGTATTATAAAAGCAATACATGCTCATTGTTTTAAAAGGAAAGCACAGAAGAGTGTAAAGTGAAGAGCAAAGGTCTCACTCACCCCTCACCCAAACCTCCAATCTTACAGTTTCTCTTGTATGTTTCCAGACTGTCCATGGCCACACAAAGAAACATACACAGCCTTGCCTGTGGCTCTGTCCCTTACACCAAAAGGTTGTGGGTTTGATCCCTGGTCAGGGCACATAAGGGAGGCAACCTATCAATGTTTCTCATATCAATGTTTCTCTCATATCTATGTTTCTTTCTCTCTCATACTGATGTTTCTCTCTCCCTTCCCTCTTGCTACAAAAATCAATGGAAAACATCGTCTGGTGAGGATGGGGCGGGGGAATATATGCATACATATACACTTTTCTATGGCTTGTTTTATGCACTTCATCAATCTTGAACACCTTTCTATATCCAAACCTGACAGATCTGCCACACACTGTTTAATGGCAACTTAGATTTCTTCTGTGGAGAGCAATTACCATTGGTTTCATCGGCCCTCACAGATGCGCATGGCGGTTGTTACAACACTGTGATCAGCATCCCTGCATCTATATCTCTGGGACCACTAAGTCTGTAAGGCTCTTGATTGCCAGAATAGAGCAGACTGGGGGTGATTCTTCAAATTTGGTTCTACCTCCGGATGGAGAACTCCCTGTGTGGCATGAGAGACAGTCATTGCCCACACACAGCATTCAGTCGCTGGACTCACTGACTCACTGGTCAGAAGCATGAGCACCTTCCCTCTGACCTCAAAATAGAAGAAAGAGGTCACTGGACTGCTTTCTCAGGAGCCCGCCCAACAGAACCCACGTTCCTCCCCTTCTCTGGAAGCAGAGAGGAAATCCCAAGCGTTGAGCTATAGGATTGCAGAACCCAGCTGTGTTCTCAGGGAGCCCTGAGAAAGCCTCCAAGAGGAAGGAAACACGTTTTTAGTTCATGAGACACAATCCCAGCTGTTTTCAGGGGGCCGGAGGGATGTCGATGTGACAATGAGGACAGTCGCTGAGACAGGCTTCAGGTGGCGGCTGGGAGGAGGAACACACGCAGGGCTTTCATCGGCAGTGAATCGGCACTATTATCCCGGCCCACATCCGCCTCTTCACTCCGTGTCCTTTCTCAGGCCGAGGACAGGATGGAATGGCAGGAACTGGGGACTGCTTATCGGCAGCTCAGCCTGACTCACGCAGGACCCCAAGCCAGCCACTTACCGTACCCTGGGCCTTCGAAGCCCCAGGGGCCCGAGGGAAGCTAGGCTGGAAAAAGGTGCCCCTGGGCTGTGTCCGAGTTGCTTACTTACAGCTCTGGGACCCGCAGAGATTTATTAGCAAACCATCCTAACCTTCACCTGGTCTATTCCTCTACCTGTAAGGAAAGCAAAAGCAGCACTGGCAGTCCCTGTCTTACACTGTCCTTGAGAGCAGGAGGTACACCAAGTGCTCAACACAGGACATGGCATTACATATGCCGTCAATAAAGCTTTGATATTTTCTTCACTGATATCTCCCTTTTGCCTAGTGCAGTGCCCAATTCAGAGTAGGTGCTTAATTAAGACTTTTTTTTTTTTTCAATGAATGAACCACCTCTTCATTTCCTGAGATCTCTCTAACCTCATATCACCCCATTCTGTTCTTTAAAACAGTGGTAGCTTAGTGATAATGTAGTTCGGTTTGTTTTTCACTGAGGTCTCTCTCTCTCTCCCCTCTCTTCTCTGGCTTCCTAGGAGAAAAGATGTTTTATTCTCCCTGCTGCGTTCTCAAGAGCCAGCTACATAAGATGAATAACTCAGAGCCAAGGTCCTGGAATGCAGCCTCACCTCAGAGTTCCTAAAAAGAAAGTGAGCCCCAGGACCATGGAACATGGGAGGAGGGAGGAAAGGAAATTTGGGTATCCATTCATTAAATACCGTATTTTCCGGCGTATAAGACGACCCCCCTAATTTTACAGTTAAAACATAGGTTTAAGCCTATATTCACTGTATAAGACTACCCCCCACTTCCGAGGCAACACCAGTTCTTTTTTTAATAGACCGCCTCTCTGGCTCTGGCCAATCTGAGCAGGCTTGTTTTCGTTTCAAAAGTCATCTTATACACCGGAAAATACGGTATGTAACTGGGGTATCTACTGTGTCTGGAAGTGAAACCAAAAGCTTCTTGCTTGGCCTGCCCCTCCACCCTCCTACCTGCTGCATATGCCTCAGACCTGAAAGCCTGGCCTCCCCCTCTCTACGGAACGGGCTTCCTTGTAGGTAATCCCCAGGAGTTCCCACTGTCAATCCAGGTGCCCTTTCCTCCATTCTTGGTCCCCACTACCTCTCAGCACCTTTCTTCCCCTTCGGCTTCTCTGGGTGACTGTTCTGTTGTCCTCCCATCTCCTTTCTCGGTCCCATATTCTCTTACCTTCTGTTAAAAGCTGAATTGTGTTCCCCACCAAAATCTATATATTAAAATCCTAATCCCTTATACCTCAGAGTGTAACTATATTAGGAGATAGGGTCTTTACAAAGTAACTAATGAGGTCACTAAGAAGGACCCTAATCCTATCACTGGTGTCCTTATAAGAGGAAAGTAGGACATCAGCATAAGGCAGATCACGTGGAGACAGAGAAACCCATCTACAAGCCAAGGAGAGAGGCCTCAACCCTATCAACATTTTGATCTCAGACTTCTAGACTCCAGAATTATGAGAAAATAAACTTCTATTGTCTAAGCCACCTCATCTGAGGTCTTTTATTATGGCAGCCCTAGCAAACTAATACACCCCCTGTGTTGTATGACACTGTCATTACCCACAAACATGCCATCTTCCTGTACAAATCCACCTCCATGTCTTACTATCATCCCTCCCTCCCCAATCTCCCACTCAGGTCAATATGTCCACACACTGAGACCTGCACACACCCAGATTCCAGCTCTGAATTCCAACTGCCTGCCAGACAATACCTCTTCAGTTGTTTGGCCAATTCCTAAACCTCAAGAAGTCCAAAATCACAGAATATTTGAAGGTGATCAATCTGACCACCTTGCTTTATAGATTAGAAACCGAGGCACTAAACAAAAAAACAGAAAACAAACTCAGCTCTCTGAGTTCCTTATTTCTAAAAGCACCATCCATCTGGTCATCACTCAAAAATGTGGAGTCATCTTTTATTCTGCCCTTTCTTTCATTCCTCATAGCCAATTAAAGAACTTCCACTGCACTCTACAATCACTGTGTCTGTTGTCCAGTGTTTCAATTTTATTATGTCCCCCCCTCCCAATAGATGAAATATTTCAGTGCATTTATATTTAGGTAAATACTGAATTTTTGGGGCCTCAGTAGTTGGTTCTGTTACAGGGTGGGATACCAGATAAAAATGGTACCCATATCATAGGGTTTTTGCAAAAATTAAATGTAGTAAAAACTAAGTATGGTCTGGCCTCAAAACTCTTTGTACTATATACCATGCTACCTCTTTCTTTGGGAATGTAAGGAATTGGTTCAATTTCTGAAATAATGAATAATATATCTTATTTTGTTTTTAAAAATGCTTGCTTAATAGGCACAAAAGTACAGAATATACAGAAGAAAAAAGAAAGAAAGGAAGAGAGAGAGAGAGAACTCTGGAACATAAGTGAGTGCCCACGACAGCTTAGACTGAGGATTGAGCAATTTGAAAAAAATAAAATAAAAGCTAAAATAGGTTCAATAGCAGATTAAATACTATTAAAAGCATAATTTGTTTATTGGAGGATAGATATAAAGAAATCTAGAAAGTGATCCAGAGATA